CAAATTATTTATGTTTACGTTTCAAGCCGTTTGACGATTGGCCAGAATTTCGCGCGGAAACGGTGGCCGATATCCTCTCCAAGCGTTTGTTGGCGTTTGCGATGAAGTCGTCGATGTCGTCGAAGGGCAATGGCTTCGGCTCTGCCTTCTTATTGCAGTCCTTAATGAAGGCCTCGATGTCTGTAATCACTTCGGGCTTCTTCTCGACGGTTGGCTTTTGGCGCTCAAAGAGTTTCTCGAAGTGTTTGTGTTTGCTTTGCTCTGCTTTGCACTTCGGTTTGGGCCGATAGTTGTTGGCCACCGAACGCGAGTTTGTGGCCGCCATTCGCGACGGGTTGTCATCAGAGGTATATTTGTTGTCATAATTACTACTTATTCTATCACTGGTTTCCGCTTTGACCGACAGTTCGTCGAAACCGTCTCTACTTCGGGAGCCGTTAGTTTCGCCCTCAAAAACTTCTTTATCTCTATCGTAATCGGTGTCCCGATTGGGACCATCTCTGGCCTCTCCATCGCGTCCTCTATTGTCGTAATCTCTTCCGCGATCCCAATCTGAGTGTCCATCGAAGGGTCGGCCCCTTCTGTTGTGAATAGGAAGCGACCATTTGATGCCACTGTTGGCGATGGGAGTGAAACCCGTTTCTCCGGTCTTTTCGTTAATGTCGTCGCCTTTAAACTGAACGAAGTTATCATCTTTTGAGTAGAAATGGCTGCCAAACATCGGTCCGTTGTTTCGGCGGACAATCGGCCGCTTCAGCATTGGATTGTCTTTCATGTCATTAATGGCCGAAACCTTTTCCATCATTCGGTCGTCAAATAATCCCAATTCTTTCAATTGTCTCATCTTCTGGTCAAACAACTCATCCACGTTTGGGTCCACACCGTTGTCCTCCTCCTCCTCTTCGGGCGGTACCGCCTCTTCGGCGGTCGGGCTTTCAGACATTGGATCCGACGATGAGTTGTGTTCAGTGGTTAGCAAATGATAATAAAGTCTTCACAACAACACAAACCACTGTTCAATGTCTGCACTTAACACAACTCAACACTCATTTCCGGCAATAATTACGTCAAACACTCAATGCTTTTCTCTTTTGTTGGAAAAGTTTTTTATTACAAATTATTTAATTATTAATTAATCATAAATTTTATAAAATAATAATTAATAAAATTTAATACTTAATTAAATCTCAACTAATTTGCGTTTATGGTTATTCAAATAATTGTTATTTTATTTGTAAACTTTCAAAATTTTAAAGATTTTTATATAAATTTGTATTTTCTATTTCTAAATCAATTTTTAAATAATTGTAACTCTTTTATCAACTTTTGGTATTATTTAACAATTGCTTCAATCATTTCGACCGCTCTTTGAATGCTTTCAGAGCTTAACATATGTTTTGAAGCGACGGATAATCTCTGTTTCATTTCCGATTCATTCAATAGCTTTTCGATTGAATCCAATAATTCTTCTTCAGAACAGTTGTACGGATCAAGTCTTAGACCGAAACCCTTTTCCATAACTCTTTGTGCGCTATCGAACTGATCGGTGAATAATGGCATTACAAGCATTAGTTTCCCGTAACTGAATGTTTCGGTCACAGAGTTGTTCCCGCCGTGAGTTATGACCACATCTACTAATGGCAACACTAGTATTATTTAATGCATTTATTTATGCTTTTAGTTTCAATTAATAAGAATGTCGTAAATATAAACTTTTGTTTAAAATAAGTGAGCAAATCATTACATATTGGTATTTCAATTGAATATAAATTGATGTGAATGGCAATCAAATAAACACTTTATTAAAATAAGAGAAGTGCATCCGTATTATCATTTCATTAACAGTTAAGGTAAGTAAAAGTAATTTAAATAAACTCATAAATAGTGGACAATATTAATTGATAACAATATAATAATTTAAAACATTTTCATTATATAATTCTTGTAATCAACGTAAACTTTATATAAAATTTAAATTATATAACAAATTCTTATTAATTATGGATAAAATTTAAGCACAACATTAAAAACATTAAACCGGTATTGCAACAAAACAATTATGAAAAACTAGGTATTTTTGGTTTCAATACACGTAAAGTGGCGCTCAATTGTGTATTGAATGATGTGTTTGTTTGAAGTGAGAACTTAATTGTCGTTTGGAAATGAATGTAATCTCACATCCAATGTATTGACACTTAAATCGATTATCGCTTTCATGTAAAATGTAATGCCTTTTAAGCGAACCTAAAAGTAATGTTTATAAGAATTAAACAAAATATTCAAACATTAATGACGTGGAGTTTGCCTTTAAATTTGAATGTCTTCCCACATCCGTCCCAATTGCAGGTGAAGTCAGCGGTTCCCCTGTGAACCACTCCATGACGTATACGCGATGACAGCGAGCGGAACCTAATGTCCAAATATTCACGCAATTTATTAACAATACATTCATTGTATTTTAAAGAGACATACATTGCTTCACATCCGGGCCTTAAATCAGTAAAAAAATTAAACACATAATTAATTTATTAATCTGTAAATTGCAATGACAAATATATAAAGAGTTAATACCACTCGCATTTGTAGGGCTTCTCATTTGTATGGATCAAACAGTGATGTTTCAAATTAGAATTACTTCTAAATGCCTGTCCACATGACGGCCAGTCGCACGCAAACGGTTTCAATCCCTCGTGACTCGCCTTATGGACAATGAGATGAGTGTTTCTATCAAACGGTAAATTAAGTGTTAAACAATATTGAGATTAAGGAGCAAATAAGCGCACCGATAGAAACTGGACTCACATCCCGGCCAAACACATCTATCATTAGACATAATTAACGCTATAATTAATAAATGAAATTCAATAAAATTAATCATTTAATCACTTAAAAGGTTTGATTCCTTTGTGTTTCATTTTATGTTCGGCTAAACCGCGATATCGATCGCTAGAATACGAACAGTCCTTCAGATCACACGTAAACACCTCTCGAGTCCTGTCATACATATCGTCGTGAGTGTTGCGGATGTGATCCAAGAGTCGCTTCTTCACAGAAAACTTCAGATCACATGCAATGCACTCAATCGTCACATTCATCACTGATTTGTCGTCCATTTCATTGTCAACTAAATTGGGGTTAAATATCACACAAGTATTGAAATGAAATCCGATATTAGGTTAACATAAATACAAACCATAATTTGAATGCAAATCACTCTTAGAATTATTGTCAACGCTTTTGGGATCAATTAATGACACTTTAGTGGGACTATTCTGAACACGATTACCACTGCTTGTGGACCTGTTATTATTGATTTGTCGTATGATTTGACTCTCGATCGCAATTCTCTTCAACTTGTGAGCCCTGTCTTCGCCCCCACTCTTCCGTCTATTACTTACAACCGCTCTAACAGTCATCGGAGGTATCGATAATCTCAAACTCGTTGGTCGACGAGCGGGTCTTCGGATGTGTATTGAGTGTTGGAATCGCTGTCTGAGACACTTATAAGTGGTCTCGAGTCGATTGAAGGCCAACTTCTGGGCCAACGTTTGACTGCATTTGCAGTTATGATTCAATTGTTTGAAATGAAGTCTCAGTTCTTGTAATAAATGCAGACATTTGTCGGCAAAACATAATTCATTGTAAAGACGACTGTTTTCTGTCCGCAACTCTTCCAACACATCCTTCACTTCAATCACAGCCGACATGTCTTTCCGTGTCTTTTGGCACCGATTTTGCACTCAATTTGTGTCCACTTTTGGCCACAATTTACACAATAATTGCAATCAAATTGTTTTGCAATGAAATGTAAACAAACGTTAGTTTCGGGGGTTTTCTCGACATTGCGTTCACTTTTCACTCCAAAAGTTATAAAAGTTTTCATAACTTTTAAATTTAATTGAATTGGCGGCAAACAGAGTGAGACTATCAGATATGCATTTGAACAAGGCAATAATGAGTATTAAAAATAATGTATTACTAATAATTACGGAGGAAACTTTAGTACACTTTTAGTACAAAAAACTATATATTAAAGTGTAAAGTTGTATTGACACCAAAATTGTTATTAATAGGTCTGTTAGCGTTACCCAAGAGACACCGACACGGAGGTAGACCTTTGTCTCTCACTATTTGTTTCCGCGGTTTGGTTCCGCCCGTCTCATAGTTACAGTCTTAGAGGTGCAGACTATCACATTATTATCACTTTTGTCTTTTGTTGAGATTAAGATTGTAAAGACAATAGAAAGATCTCAAGCAGTTCTCATCAGTGAAAGACTTTCTATTGTCTCGAAAAAATGCTTTGTATTGAGAGAAAGATCTTTCGACTTCACATGTGGTGACCGGGGCTTTAATAAACAGTTTTGTATCAAATGGAAAAGTATTAGTTTTCTGATTAGAATTGATTGCATTGATTGACTTCATGTCTTCATAACCGGGATTTGATGTTAAGATATCTGTAAGACGAGTTATTGCAAAGTTATCATATACTGTAAATTCTTTAATAATTGTTTCAATTAAATTCAAACTATCGGCAAGTGTTATATCGTTCGATTCTAGTTGTTTAATCAATGCGTTCATGGTTGCAAATTGTATTGCAATTGAATCTAATTGTTGTCTCAATTCGTTGGACTGTGTATTAATAAGCTTTTGAGTGTTTTCAACGGCTTTAGAAGATACCTCAAGCAAATTAAATACAGGAATAATTTGATCGAAGTATTTGGCATAATGTGCCACTGCATTATACCATGTTCCCCACCGTGTTGGGACAGGCTGTGGCGGTGCCGGAACGTCTGAACACTCGTTTCGATAGATTAGTTTGTTTTTGAAATTTTTTGTAAAACATTTCTTACTATTTGAAATGAATTCATTGACTAATGGAAATTCATCTCGAATTGATTCCGCTACGTTATGGAGAGCGTGATTAAGACAAGTCATGTGAATAAGATTTGGGAACGCATTTTTCAAGTCTTTTCCGGCTTTAACCATATACGAACCCCTATCGCTAAGAAATAACAAAATCTTTTGGGAAATCAATTCAATTTGAGTGCAATAAAGCATTAATTTGGCAATAATTGTTTCATTGACTGTTAGATAATTTGTTTCAGTTAAATACTCTGAACCCAATAAATAGTGCTCATTAGTCTCACTTCCAAGAATACCAACAATAATATTAATCAAATGTCTTCCGGATGAATCCGTTGTCTCATCCGCTTGAAGCCATAGATAATTATTTGAAATTCGATTCTTTATTTTGTCTTTAATATCTGATTCGATGAATTTGGAGTAATTTCTTAAAGTGTTTCCACACGGCTGTGATATTCCTGTGTATTTTTCCAAAAACAATCTAAGGTTTTCGTTATCTATTTTATGGAAAGGAATATCGGTTGCTGAGAAAGCTTTTGTTAAGTCATAATAATATTCGTTTTTGTCATCAAATCTTGGAANAATCATAACAAAATACATAATAAATAATTGTAAAAAAGATATAATTTATTTAAATGTTTTTATTAACGAATTGTATATTATTTAAAGGAATATAATTAAATTGTGTGTATAATTGATGTAAATATTTAAATCCATAACATATCTATCTTTTTGTCACTCATTTGGTATCACTTAATCATAACATATATCTTATATTAGCGTTGGTTTTGCTTTAATAATATGTTTGAATTATTGGTTTGTTTTACAATATATATTGATTTATGATTTAAATGTCTTTATTGTTACGATTGATTCAAACGTTGATTTAATTCATAATTTAGAGTTTGTATTGAATAGTGTTTTTGAGATATGTTTTTGATTTAATTCCAACCAAAGAGACTAATAATCAATTGATTTATTGTTATCTTAACATTAATATTAAAAACGAGAAAATATTTTGTATAAACCTTTTTTGTATTTCTATATTTCCAATACTCTTATAATTTATTGAATTCCTTTCATTTTAATTATATATGATTTCAGAATTTATAAATCTTTTATTTTTGATTATAAATAAAGTAATTATTAACTGATTTTTAAAGTGATTTTCGTTTCATTTGTTTGCAATTTATTATTGAGAGGTTTGTATGGCTTTTGATTTGGCCGTCGGTTAAAGTGTGATACGGGTCGGGACGGGAACAGGACGAGAACGGGACGGAAATCAGTCATTAGTTGTAATTTATTATTTATAATTAAATTTAAAAGTTATGAAAACTTTTATAACTTTTGGAGTGAAAAGTGAACGCAATGTCGAGAAAACCCCCGAAACTAACGTTTGTTTACATTTCATTGCAAAACAATTTGATTGCAATTATTGTGTAAATTGTGGCCAAAAGTGGACACAAATTGAGTGCAAAATCGGTGCCAAAAGACACGGAAAGACATGTCGGCTGTGATTGAAGTGACGGATGTGTTGGAAGAGTTGCGGACAGAAAACAGTCGTCTTTACAATGAATTGTGTTTTGCCGACAAATGTCTGCATTTATTACAAGAACTGAGACTTCATTTCAAACAATTGAATCATAACTGCAAATGCAGTCAAACGTTGGCCCAGAAGTTGGCCTTCAATCGACTCGAGACCACTTATAAGTGTCTCAGACAGCGATTCCAACACTCAATACACACCCGAAGACCCGCTCGTCGACCAACGAGTCTGAGATTATCGATACCTCCGATGACTGTTAGAGCGGTTGGAAGTAATAGACGGAAGAGTAGGGGCGAAGACAGGGCTCACAAGTTGAAGAGAATTGCGATCGAGAGTCAAATTATACGACAAATCAATAATAACAGGTCCACAATCAGTAGTAATTGTGTCAAGAATAGTCCCACTAAAGTGTCATTAATTGATCCCAAAAGCGTTGACAATAATTCTAAGAGTGATTTGCATTCAAATAATGGTTTGTATTTATGTTAACCTAATATAGGATTTCATTTCAATACTTGTGTGAGATTTAACCCCAATTTAGTTGACAATGAAATGGACAACAAATCAGTGATGAATGTGACGATTGAGTGCATTGGATGTGATCTGAAGTTTTCTGTGAAGAAGCGACTCTTGGATCACATCCGCAACACTCACGACGATATGTATGACAGGACTCGAGAGGTGTTTACGTGTGATCTGAAGGACTGTTCGTATTCTAGCGATCGATACCGCGGTTTAGCCGAACATAAAATGAAACACAAAGGAATCAAACCTTTTAAGTGATTAAATCATTAATTATATTGAATTTTATTTATTAATTATTGCGTTAATTATGTTTAATGATAGATGTGTTTGGCCGGGATGTGAGTCCAGTTTCTATCGGTGCGCTTATTTGCTCCTTAATCTCAATATTGTTTAACACTTAATCTGCCGTTTGATAGAAACACTCATCTCATTGTCCATAAGGCGAGTCACGAGGGATTGAAGCCGTTTGCGTGCGACTGGCCGTCATGTGGACAGGCGTTCAGAAGTAATTCTAATTTGAAACATCACTGTTTGATCCATACAAATGAGAAGCCCTACAAATGCGAGTGGTATTAACTCTTTATATATTTGTCATTACAATTTGCAAATTAATTAAATAATTATGTGTTTAATTTTTTTTTACTGATTTAAGGCCCGGATGTGAAGCAATGTATGTCTATTGAAAATACAATGAATGTATTGTTAGTAAATTGCGTGAATATTTGGACATTAGGTTCCGCTCTCTGTCATCGCGTATACGTCATGGAGTGGTCCACAGGGGAACCGCTGACTTCACCTGCAATTGGGACGGATGTGGGAAGACATTCAAATTTAAAGGCAAATTCCAAGTCATTAATGTTTAAATGTTTTGTTTAATTCTTATAAACATTACTTTTAGGTTCGCTTAAAAGGCATTATATTTTACATGAAAGCGATAATCGATTTAAGTGTCAATACATTGGATGTGAGATTACATTCATTTCCAAACGACAATTAAGTTCTCACTTTAAACAAACACATCATTCAATACACAATTGAGCGCCACTTCACGTGTATTGGAACCAAAGAAACCTAGTTTTTGATAATTATTTTGTTGCAATACCGGTGTAATGTTTTTAATGTTTTGCTTAAATTTTATTTATAATTATTAATTAATAAGAATTTGTTATATAATTTAAATTTTATGTAAAGTTTACTTTGAGTTTTAGTTTGAGTAAAGTTTTAAATTAACCAAGTGTATTTATTTTGCAATAAACCTGAACACTGAAATATGAAAATAGCAAATGTATTGTATAAAAATATACAAAATATTGTAAAATTATTTATATTATATAAATTATATACGAATAAGAAATAAAAAGTAAAATTGAACAATTATTGCAATAAGCTATTAAATCATTAAATTCCCGACAAATTCCGTGAAAGAGATTATAATAATTTAACTAATTTTTAAACTAATTTATCTATCGATGGGTTCTATGGGTTCAATAGATGTGAATCTTATGAAGAGATTTGTGACAATTCTGTCGAAATCCAAACATAAGTTTATTGTTTCGAAAGGATTTCTCGGAAACAAATATGAATTGGCGGACAATATGTGGGGCGAGAACTCAGTTCCGCAGACAAAAGTGTTGCCTTTAGTAGATGTGGTCATAACACACGGCGGCAACAACTCTGTGACCGAAACATTCAGTTACGGGAAACCAATGATTGTAATGCCATTATTCACCGATCAGTTCAATAGCGCACAAAGAGTTATGGAAAAGGGTTTCGGTTTAAGACGTGATCCGTACAACTGTTCTGAAGAAGAATTATTGGATTCAATGGAAAAGCTATTGAATGACTCGGAAATGAAACAGAGATTATCCGTCGCTTCAAAACGTATGTTAAGCTCTGATAGCATTCAAAGAGCGGCCGAAATGATTGAAACAATCGTTAAATAATACCAAAAGTTGATAAAAGAGTTACAATTATTTAAAAATTGGTTTATAAATAGAAAATACAATTTTATATAAAAATCTTGAAAGTTTACGAATAAAATAACGATTATTTAAATAACTATAAACGCAAATGAGTTGAGATTTAATTAAGTATTAAATTTTATGATTAATTAATAATTAAATAATTTGTAATAAAAAAAACTTTTCCAACAAAAGAGAAAAGGATTGAGTATTTGACGTAATTATTGCCTGAAATGAGTGTTGAGTTGTGTTGAGTGCAGACTAGTGTAGCGCCATTTATTCCATATTGCGGACATTTGGCCATATGACCGTCCAAATGCCCGTCATTTTTGGCCATATAAAATGCGTGGCCAAAGTGGGCATATGGCCCGGTTTTTTGGCGTTTATGCGAAAACTACAAAAGTTATAGATGTGAAACGTACTTCACTTTATACTATTGAACTGTACGAGTGTTTTAAGCCATCATTGATTGTTGTGAGTGTTGTCGTTGGCCGTCAGGAATTTTTTAAATAGTTATCCCTATGTGGCCACACAATGCTAAAACATACCAATATGGCGGCTTTATGTTGAAAGTGTTGTCTCTATAACTGCACTCAACCTGTGAGGCCACCGCTCAATAGGACACCCGACATCACGTTAATCCTTTCATTCAGATATAGGTAAAGACAATACCAATGTTTTGTGGAATTATTGGACACGAGTCATCGAAGAGGGGACCAAAGCAATAATGAACTGCAATCACTGACAATAGACTCCAAAAGCATGCCATCAAATACCGGCAACACTAATTCAATTGTAGTGCTATTCAATTGTAGTGATAACCTAATGAGAATTCAATGGGCACTCAATTATCAAATCAAAGAACCAATTGTTGAGTTTGAAAGAGAAGATCGAGATTTGATTGTATTAGACGAACCATTTAGTAAAGAGGACTAATGGCCGGCGACCCGTTATGGTCCGGTGCCTACCGTCTCGATCACTACTATTGATTACTCAAATGATGATTCAAATTAGTGGCCACCGGTCATTAGACTCCGGACCACTAATGCTCTATATTTAGTAATAATTGATTAATTTTGATACACTATTTAGTTTTTATATGCTTTTAATTCAATACTTATAATGTGTTATACATTGCATTAAAGTGTTGCTCCTTATGATTACTTGTGTGTAACCAATGTTTGTCAATAAATCTATTTGAATTGATTTTGTAATGAATTATGGCTTTTAATGGAGTTATGATTAATTGTTGTTTGTTAACATTACAAACAATGTTTCTATTGGCTGCCAATAGATGTCACAAAGTCACATAAATTAAAACACAACTTACGTCGTTATATTATTAATGGTTAATATGACAATATAATTACGTTACTTGTGTGATTCACTATACCACGTGATGTAAACAAAGCCATATGCCGGCCATATGGCGGTCATATGGCGGCAATTTTAGTCATATTTTGCTCCGCCAGATGGATCGAAACACACTACTCACAATCAATACTCAAACGTTTCGTTCAATTCACGAATTATTCTAAACCAATACTCAATACTCCCTTCACTCCCACTCAACAGCTATAGAGCTCTCTCTCTCTCTCTCTCTCTCTCCCTCTCTCGCTCTGCACTTGCATTCATTTCCTCACTTTTCATCACTGATTTGTATTGTTTTTTTTCTACAATTAGTTTCAATGTTTGCATTAAATTGTAAATTCAAAGCAATGAATACTTGTGTTTGAATTGTCTCATAGTTTAGGGAATATGTCGTCGATTGGGAAGTATTGCCGACTGAAGCACAGGTCGAGCGGATGGCAGTGAGAGTGCCCTCCAGTGACCACAATATACACATTGACTCAATTGGCGCCACTTTTCAATCGCTAAATGCTATTTAAATAGCAATTTATTCAATCATTGCATCAATT